TAACCTCCCTGCCTTTTCCCTTTTGTTGCTTCCTCCTTCCTTCACTATAGCTACAGTATTCTGGAGCCCAAGCCTTGTTTTATGCGCCCATGAGCCTACATCCTTTCTGCTGCAGTCTTCGCCTGACCCAATGTCAACTTACTGGGCGTAATGTAGAGCTCACTGGACACTCTCTCAATGACATCACTGCAAGTCGTTTTTATTGAAGAAACTCAGTTGTCCTCGTCAACAAGTGTTTCATCTGTACATCCGCTTGTGGTTGTGGATAATTTATTAAAGTACAGCAAACGCAAACAAGTTCAGAAGCGTAGCTCAGGCTCCTGAGTTCCTCCTGGCAACATTCAACGCAAATCTCGCACTCGTGCCACAGTGCCAGTACAGGCGCGCGCACGTCGTTAACGTCTTCAAGGGCGACATGTCTTTATTGAAAGAAAAAGGGAAGACGTTTTGTCATAGTGACTAAACAGAAAGGATATGCGGTAACATATATATATATATATATATATATATATATATATATATATATATATATATATATATATATATATATATATATATATATATATATATATATATATATATATATAGATTTGGAAGATCATGTCAGTATAACCAGAGTCCTTCAATGCTTTTCTGGTCACGAAACTCCGGCCGAAGTTTCATTCAGGGACAAAAGCTGCCGCTAGGATCGCCCCTGTTAGCGTGAAGGCTTCGCCGGCGGCCGGCGACGCTTGCGGGCCGGCTGTTTCTCCGTCGGCAATGCGCCTAATTTCATCTGCTCTTCATTTCCACCTGTAAAAACGCGACCTGTAAAAACGCGAGCGACGCGAGCGAAGTGTGCGTGTTTTTGATTCAGTTGACGCTTAGCTTAGCTGTGAAATAGAGGCAAGGCCACGCGTGTTACTGAGTCGTATATGTTGCAGCGTTCGTTCGTTGCGGTAGTCACGGCCGCTACGTTCTCGCTTTGAGAAGGAGGACATCTGGCGTTTTCGATTTTTGAGTAGTCTTTGCAGTTTCCTGCATTTGAGTTAACTAGCACCAGATTTAAATCGGTATATACAGCCCTGGGCGACATGCTGCGCTTAGCAAATAGGTGTGCAAACGTACAGCACGTTGGGTTAGCGCTGTGTCTGCGCGATTTTATAGCGCGCTAATAATGTACAAAAATAACCTAGGTTTGGAAAGTGAGCATCAACATGATGAAGAAAAACGCTCACGAAATGGAAGCAGCATAATGAGCGCGCGTAGGAGTAAATGCTACACACTTGAGCGACTTTCCCGGCTGTCAACATAGGTATAGGGTGTCAACAGAAAAACTCGTATGGTCAGTGTCTGACACACTCGTCCCACCAAAACGACAAGTTAATTGATTACTTGGTTATGAGGTTTAACGCGCTGACGCTATGCAGGCAATCGGGCGCGCGCCGTAGTGTAGCCAGAGTCCTTCAAGCATTGAAGGACTCTGGTGTAGCTCTCCGGAATAATTTTAACCACCCAGGTATCTTTAACATGCGCGGCAATCTCTAAAACACAGGCATTTTCTCTTTTCGCCTCCATCAGAAAAGCGGCTGGGAACCCGCGTCCTTGGGCTCATCATCATCAGCACAGCGCCCTAGCCCCTGAGCCACCGCGGCGGGGACACTAAAAAAATTAAAAAATAAATACAGGCAAAATATTGAAGGACTCTGGTATAACTCATCCCCTGATGAAGGGAGGACCCCTCCCGAAACTGTTGGGAAATAAATATATTTATCCTTGTTGACAATGCTCCCGTTGTGCCATATCCCATACCTTCATGAAGACTAACTGGCCCATTGAATTATTACTCCCACTTTATATATAGATATATGAATATATATATATATATATATATATATATATATATATATATATATATATATATATATTCTTGCTAAAAGTACTTTCTTAAAGTGAAAAAAAAACGATAATTTAAGTAAACAATTGCCAGCCGATCAATAGAACCTAAATTAAAACTAATGTTGAACGGTCCACGAAGCAGTTTTATAACAGTTTTATTGGCATGATTGCCGCATACCACTTGTTTTATGATGAACTCTGGCTGGGACACCATTTTTGCAATTATTTATGAGAACTAAATCTCAACGACATACCTGCAAAAATATATTTCTCGTATCATACGTCATTGGTGTCATTAAGTCATCACCTGCCGAAGCGCATGCTTCTATCATAATTGTAGTGGACCTATATTCGAATGAGCCATCCTGTAGTCCGAAATTCAGTAGATATGATGGAGAGGTAAACTTCAGCTCATCATATTACTAATGAAATTGCGTGTCTGCGCAGTCAGACAAAGCAAAAAAGGCGTCGCTCTCAGAAGAAGCGTGATAGTCGTAACAATATCGCCTTATTGTTTTCACATTATTAGGTAACACAATATAACAAAGCAGCCGTTCATTGAAATGACCGTACTTACGTGATCTACACTAATTTATATTAGCCAGCTCTACATATAGGCATACAACTATAAGATCTACATCACATAATGCAATGTATTCTGTTAGTCGAGTTATGGTGAGTAATCAATGCTCCAGCGTACTGGTGTACATTCAGAAATATAGTTGCGCCAAGTTTCATTTTTATAAAGCGCTTCACAGAATATATGTACATAGCCGCTCAACAGCTTGACACTGAAATTAGGCCCACTCACTATTCGCTTGAATTTAAAAGTTTTTTAACCTTCTTGTGTACTAACAACCCCGCTATTTGGAAGGCCTAATAAAGGGGCTCATTTATGTAATAATTTACCTGTTTTGCAGAATAACGGTCTAGATTTGTATATTCGTAGCGGAGTGAGGATTCATTGGCATCACAGCATTATCACATAAATACATTAGCCATATGTGTATATACGCATAACAATTTGTGTTATTCCATTGGTATGCATTGCATACAGCGTGAAAATTGTTATGGAAGACACTCGACTTTCCACCTTCACCTTAAAGACCCTCGCAGAAATTAGATGCAAGTGTTCTCAGAGTAAATATAGGTGCTTGGCTTTAAAGAGACACTGAAGAACAAAACTATTTCTCGCGTATTAGTAAAGTACTATAACCCGATCTTGAAATCACCGCTTTTACCCCCACTTCGCGCTTAGTAAAGGAGAAAATGCGTGAAAATAGAATGCGGGTAGGACGCCACTGTTGGATTTTTGCACCAAACACCAATACGTAGAAAAGTTTAAAGGTGTCTACTAAATCTTCTATAGCTTCTACTCAATAAAATTTAAATTCACTTTCTTTTTGGCTGGCGTAAACTGTAAACTTAGCATACGAAATTTACTAAAATTTAGTAGAGCTAATACCTTGAAAATACGACAAATACAATATGAAATTTGCTACATAACGCACGTAGATTTCGGCGTAAAAACAAAAATGAAAGTTGAACCTTGTTTTCTCCTGTAGTAATAAACTTAGGCCAGTGACACTTATAGCATTACAGTTTTCAGAGTGTAGTTTAATAATCTAAAGCAAGCCTTGCTTACTCTTTAGGGTCCCTTGGAGCCCCTGCCCATGACGAGGCTTGTCTTTTTTTATGGTAAGCTTCCAGTTTGCTGGGTTGCTTTGTTTCACTTGGCGATCGCACATTTTGTTGTGTTGCATAGATACGTCTCAAGTCAGTAATTTCTACCGTGTATCCCAATCATGATCTAGAAAAGTGCTCAACACACTCGTTACAATACTCTGCCATCAACTCACCAAGTTTTTGGAGACGTAACACCCCCGATAATATTATGACATCACCCCAACCGCTTTTCTGCTTTGTTCTTTTTCACTTTACACTCACTTGACTCAATGATCTATAGTGTAGAGGCTTTTTTTCTTATTGCCCCACTGCTCACTTGTTAGTGCTTCCGCATGCATTATGTGCTAACACTTCTGACAAGGAGCACCGCCGTCGTCATAAGCACTGCATCTCTGTAACTGCCGCTATCGCCCGACTAACTCACATAGTCATCCGTATCCCCCTCCTGATCATGTAGCGAGAACTTTGCTCTGGCTTCGAAAAGTATAAAAAAATCTGCGCATATTGCACTAGGCCACGCAAGGCTTGAAAGAGTGAAATTGGACTACTCTGAAGACTCATTTGGTTGCTTCTATAGGTAGGCCTTAGCTATAGGTTGTTACTGGGTTACATTTTGGACGCTACTAGGGCTTTAGCACGCCAATGCTAAGTTGTTTTCACGTTGATTATAAGCCCAGCAGGTTTCTATTTAAACTCCAGACAGTCAGAGACACCACACAAATGTCAAACCCCCAGACACATGAACTCGCTCTGAAACGCAGTGTACGTACCTCCAGAAGATCTACAGGCACGTTGTTGATGGCGTAGGCCTTCCATCATTTCGAGATCTTCTCGCAGCCGTGGTTCCTTTTCCTATTACCTAGTATACTCTCGCGGCATACGCACTCGGGGGTCTGCTGCTCACCACCATTGCATTGCTGCCATTATTGGTTGGTCTAACTGCTGCCTTCTTCATTTAATGCAGACCAATGGTCAGTAATTGACTTTATCGTGTTTCAGTGACACACATTTGTTTAGGATTATGATAGATTATTTGTTCGTTGGACAAGGAGTAATTAGCTGAACACCTTCACTGTTAAATGAAACACTTCGGCGTTTATATACAAACCGTTCATGTCAAAAAGCTCTGTTCTACGTACATGATCACCGACTATTGGAATCACTTTTGTACATAACCGGCCCGTATACAGGAGAGTGCCCTAGGTTCCCGCTTCCTCCTTCCCTTCTAAATTGTGGTAGAGGAAGGCTTGTTATCGAAACGAGGTAATGAAAAGAACTTTTGCTCTTCTAAAATAGTCAAAGTCTTCAAATATAGCCTTTCTCCACACTTCTGAAAACATTTCTTAGAGGTCGGTGTGGTACATAGGCTTCTTCGTGCATGAAATTTAAAAGTCAATTACTTGAAATCTCACAACGGTATCAAGCAAGTGTATTCCAGCAATAAGAAGTATCTTATTTCTTTTGAGTAAGCATTTATTCGAACAACAGGCAAGCATCAGTTCAAATTTTCAGGTATAGTATTTCTTCTCGTTGTTATATGTGCTGTGTTGATTGCTGAATATTCATTGTCGGGCACTACTGATGATCATTGCTACCTGCGAGGAAAACAATCATTGTTAGTCCAAATGGTCAGAATGTTTCACTTTCTTCATAATATTGTCGATGCAATGATGATAATAGGGCATCACCACGTTGTGCTACGCAACGACACTATCCGTCATTGTCTCAGTCTCGACTGTTTATTATCTCTATCATCTGATTTATTATTGCTATCTAATCAATATACAATTACGACACCTTGTAGTGAAACCACCGACTGTATACATATTGAACATTGGTGCATGTAATTACACACGCAAAGAAATAAAATTAAAATTTTTAAACACTTTATATCACAACAACAACAAAAACGTTTTTTTCTCACACTTCCTAGGGTACAAATGCATGCTGGTGCAGCATATTAGTCCGGTTTTGGGGAGTTCTACTACACCTGATCTGGAGTACGCTGCCCTTCCCCAAAAAGAGCAGCCGTAATAACCTACTGTCACAGCATTGACATTTACGGTATCATAGGCAGGATTACTTTTGTCTGTCAACGCACTCTGGACTGTACATTAAACTATCTGGAGACTAGCTGAGTAAGCTATCAGAAGTGTAAAGGTTCTGTAAGGGGTCCGAACAAGAAAACAGTGATACTAGAATGAATAGCTTGCTTAGAATCTCGAGGTATTTCACAATATATAAAAAGTCAGGTGATGCTGCTAGGGTACTAAAAAGAAATGAAAAAGATTGCAGTTTAGAGAATGACTATACCAGCTTAGTTGTAGTGTTTTTCATTGGTGTTCCGGTATTAAACAAATACTTACAATAGAGCTGTGTAGAGCTTCCCCCGTTTTAGGGCCGAAGCTACTAAAGGCGTGGGTCTGTCTATTCCTTGTATGTGCGTATATACCGCGTATAGATACACTTTTGCGAAGTGCCCACTACGTCATCCTTGCGAACATTCCACCACGCCCTATTAGCGATCCACCACTTCACCGACCAGAAAGCAAATGCTGTTGAGAAGTAGCCAATATGAAATGCATACTAGTCGTGTAATTTTGTCTAGGTGCGCTTTCAAAAACCATAATTATTCCAACTGTGTTCATCCCTTGTTTATACGTGACCGCCTATAGTTCCACCTTTGCGAACTGCCCACTACTTAGTTCTTCTAAACATCCACCACCGTTTCAACACCAATCAACTACTTCACCGAACATAAAGCCGTTATAATGAAGAGGGAAAGAAGGGGGCGCATAGCTAGCTACCACTTACGAATAATAAAATTTATTGTATATTTATATACAGTGTTTGTCACGTTCTTGATAATTTAGTGGGCAATATTCTCTGATAGTTCATGATTTAGCAAATAAATCCTCAAGCGTTAGCCCTCAACGTTCACTTCGTGGATATGCTGGGATTTTTTATATCAAAAAAAGCACAATACTTTTTCTGCTTCGGCTGTTGTGTTGAATACATATGATTTTCTTTATGTGCTGATCACGGGGCGCGCAGAAATACATTTCGAACATGGTGAGAAAACGCTTCCGATCTGAAACTGATGCCGCTGTGTTTATGTCAGAGAAATATTCGGCCCTAGCACGCGGTATAAAAGGTACATTTATGCTTCAAAGACAATTAGAGGTCACCCACTCTTCTCTCGGCAGCTTGCGTGATATACTGACTCGAGTACGTCACAGGAAGTGAAACATGGTCATTTGCTGATTTGAGCATTCCTGTTGTGCGCAGTTACCGCGGCTACCACGGGTGCCTTCAGGTAGCCGCGTGGCGCTCTATGGTGTTACAAATAAACACTATACGTTCACGCTAGGACGCTTAATCACGCCAAAAGAAAACAGATGCTTTCAAAAGACATGACTGTGTGATCCATTTCATGACGTGTGCTGGCCTAGCTTCATCCTAATTTGTGATTCTCGGCTGTCTAGCTTTGGGTGTGTTCCCTGGTGTGAAAGAAGACAGAAGGGGTGCGAAGCATTCCAGGAATTCCTCAAATTCCGCTCATATTTTACAGCATCAATCTTTTCGCAGCAGTCATTTTGTGAGGAGGTGAAAGTCGATTGTGTGGTTATTCGATGAATACTTAAAATATTTTACTGGGCCCTTTTAAATAGCACGTAGCTACCTCGTTTAGAAGTTGATATTAAGAACTGCGTGTTTGTTTTCCTTGTCCTACATGCGGCTTCTTAACCACGTGTGATACTTATAGCGACACACTACCTAATTGTCTGAAATACTTTGACAACCTCTAAACATGGGATTAATATGCATTTTTATCAGCTGGCACACTGGCAGTTACACTACAATTCGGAAATTTTTATTTACCTGTTCGTGTCAACTGGTCTTTTTTTGCTGATTTTTATTTCTTTATTTTGATTTATCACCGCCGCAAGAGTCTAGTGGTTATAGCACTCAACCCGCGGACCACGGCATAGATTCCGGCTGTGGCAGCTACGTTTTTGATTGCATAAAATGTTTGAGCCCCGTGCACTTCGATTGAAGTGCAGGTCAAAGAACACCACAAGGTCCAAATTTTCAGAACCCTCCACTACGGCGTCTCTCATAATCATATACTGCTTTCGGAGAGATTAACCACCGATATAATATTATTATTGTCGAGATCTATATGTTTTGTGTAGTCATTATAGTGCCCCTTTTACCAACTAATTGATGTTTTTGGAACGTCAGATGGTACCTTATTTTTTTTTAATTTTGAGTGTTTGCTGGGCTCACCTGGGACTGGGCGACAAAAAGAGTAAGCCCATTCTAGTGAGTACTTAGTGGTGACCAGGGCACTCATTCAGAGGCACACACAGATTCTCCTGGTTCCTGTAAAATCCTTCTGCACAGAAGCAGCCATAGATGCAGTCAGCCGTGCAAATGGGTCCCACGACGGGCTTCTCGCACGTGCCCTCTTTGCAGCTGCTGCTCACGCACTCCTTCCATGTCTCGTTTGACCCGCACCTTTGTGGCGTCCCCTGCGCTGTAGAAAAATATGCGGGTTACACGGTGGGGCATACTCGCAGCTACCGTTTACGTTAAAGCTGAGAAAATTACCATGGTGCACTACCAAGTGCAAAATCAAGAATAATTGCTAAGATTTGACGTCCCGAAACCCCGATATAAAAGAAGCAGTAGTGGAGGACTTTAGAAACTTTAACCAGTTAGAACTTATTAACAGGAACCTAGGTACCCGGGCATCAAACATTCTCGTCGTCATCGAAAATGGCACTGCCATTGGTAGGACTCAACCCTACGACCTGCGAATCAGCAGTCGAGCAACGCAACCACTAGACCACTGCGAAAGGCATACTAACCGAAAAAAAATAGTTCATGGAGTATAACGCTCCACAGCTGCTGAGGTTATAGAAGACCATAGCGGAAAACTCCGGATAAATTCAACTTCGCCAGATTGTATCCCGCGACCTACGGGTCAGCGGTCGAGCACATAACCACTAGACCACTGCGGTGAGTAAGCGGAAAGAAAAGGATGGTTCATGGGGTATAAAGTTCCACAGCTACTCAGGGTATGGTAGATGTCATAGCGAAAAACTCTAGATAACATCAAGTTCTCGACGTTTTTCGACGTGCAAAGAATTTGAACAATGTACGGTCCTCGAAACTCCGTCAAAATGCGAACGCCACGACCGGAGTTGAACCCAAGTCTTTTGCGGCAGCAGCCGTGCACCGCAACTGCTGAGCCACCGGGAGGAATTAAGGGCGACAATGGCACTGATATTGTTTTCCTGTAGTGTAAACTTCGCTTTAGCTCGCCAATTGTCATTTTAAAAATGCACTACCATATTAGCTAAATTACATTTGGATGTTGGCGAATTGCAAAGAATACTCCCACGAACTAGAATCTAGGTGCGCGTTTAAAGAATCCTAAGTCACAAAAAGTTGATTGATTGATTGATTTGTGGGGTTTAACGTCCCAAAACCACTGTATGATTATGAGAGACGCCGTAGTGGAGGGCTCCGGAAATTTTGACCACCTGGGGTTCTTTAACATGCGCCCTAATCTGAGCACACGGGCCTACAACATTTCCGCCTCCATCGGAAATGCAGCCGCCGCAGCCGGGAATCGAACCCGCGACCTGCGGTTCAGCAGCCGAGTACTTTAGGCACTAGACCACCGCGGCGGGGCGAAGTCACAAAAAGTAATCCAGAGTGTTCACGACGTGTGCTTTATAACCATGTCATTAATCCAGCATACGAAAATACACAGTTTTAGGTCTTGATCAAACCGTCTCTGCGACCTTCTAGAACTTTTTTGTACTGTTGCTCATATTCTCCCAGGGTCACCAGAATAGTCTGGATTAACGTTGCGACGTATAGTTTAGAATCCCTCCACCTAGATTTTATCATTTGTTTTATATCCCCTGCACAACTCAGTACAGAAGCCCACACAACCTGTTGTGTTCCTAGCGAGAGGCAAAGGAAAGTTTGCCATATCAGCTATGGTTGGCTTCTTCAAATAATTGTATTCGACAACGATATTTCACAAGCTAGCAGAGAAGTACGAAGATGCTCTCACGCGTTGCGTGAATACAACCCCTCCAAAGATGGAGCTTTTTCGTTCTGTCTTCCCGATATCATTCGAATAGATATGCGTTTTTGAATGCGCTCCTAAAATTTTTTTGATATAACAACAAAAGGCTTCATTAGTTTTCGTATCTATTCCTTACCTCGCCATTATCACTCACAGTGATTGTGAGCATGACTCAGAACCTTGAGTCTCAGAAATCATTACTGACTGAAAGACGGTGTTAAAATAACGTTTGTGAACAGATTATATACGAAAGCAGACTAACAAACATTTATAAACCGCAGAAAACATTCCATCTTACCGCATGCAAATGCGACGACACCTGCCAACAGTATCAGAACCTTGAGCTGCATAATTGCTGTTCTCAAATGAGAGTCAAGCGAACGTTCGCCCTTATATATGCACACCCAGCCAGCTTCCAAGAGACGCGTGTTGACGGCTCACGCGTTGTCTGCATCGAAAAGTCGCTGCGCAGCGCTTTGTGTATCACTGACGGCCTCTTCAGCTTTATCAGGTACTACCCTGAAAACGGCTTTCCTGACAGAATCGCAATTCGTGCGATTCTTTTCTGAACACACAAGAATTTTTGCGTATTAAACATAACGGCTGACAAAGTCATCAAAGTTGACACACAATGTTTTTCTCATTTTTTGTCCGTGTTTTTAGAACTTCTTGGTAGACGCTCTGAATATTTGTATAGACCTTCTTATCAAACTGCATGGGCGTGATATCCAGCATGTTTTACGATGTGAAACCTTGGAACGCTGTTAAGGTTCACCTATGTGTGTACAACGCGAAACGTTTGTCGGGACCTTAGCGTACCGCAGGCGCGCAGCCAGAAATGTTTTTTGAGGGGCCCATCAGTTGAAAATTCGAAAATGTTTCTAATGCAACGGGTAACGATTCTGATCATCCTCTCCTGATATACCACGAATAATGATGTTCTTTCGTGAACGGTTTTCAAGATCCTTTAATTTATCCGCTACGTCACCCACTGTGCGTTTTCAGCAAACCAGTTGGGAAAGAAGCTTCTCGGAGACTTGCCCAATCAGAGCAACGCATCCTTTCTTTTTCAATGCCAGTACGAATGCGCGCTTCCTAACGGGAGCCGTCGGTCTGCCATAGTTCAGCGAGTGTTCATGATGCGACGCTACATAATGGGTAACGCTGTCTGCGTCACACGAGTGTCTACGCGCTTCGCCCAGAGGTGCCATAGACGTGTTTTTTTGCCCTTCATTACAATAAGTGTGTCAAATAGTTTTTTTTTCTGCTCCTACTTTGTGGCTTGAAGCAGTGCCGCAGCCGCGTCGCAGCGCCCTTAACGCCAGAGTATACCGTAGCATTTCAATGACGCTTCCTGAATGGTAGCCCCCATAGCATCACGAAATGCGACAAGCATTCTCAAAATACCGTATCCTTTACGGAGCCAGCATGGCCGCTAACATCGTGCACACGAGGAATTTCAGACACCGACTTATGCATCGGCACACAACTAAAAACAAAGCTACTTCATAAGATTTCCGTCGTGAGACACTGCACGAAGAGTTCTCTCCCCCATGACGGCAAATCACACGCGAAAGCTAGGTGCTGGGCGTGAGTAGGAAAGGGCTAGAGAAGACGGTAGTGAAAGGCAATTGGGCGAATCTCGCTGGTATTAAAAAATATAGGAGACGCTGGTCAGAGCTCACGAGCAGGTGGTTTTCGAGAGCAGTCACCCGTAATTTCAAGGCACCAAAACGTGTCTTCACTGCATTCTCACTTTCACATAGGTCGTTCGATAAATGCTTCTGCCTAGAAACTAAATTGGAACGAACCTTCTCGAGAGAAGGGTTTTCGCAAATAAGCTTTACGCGTGGCTACGGTGGTCATATCGCACCTTATTTAAGTCAGGCGACTGCAGGTGCATGCAGGCGACTACCCCCATGTCATGCGGGACGAGAATGGTTCTCCCTTTATATCATGCCGCTCATCTTCGGCCACAGCACCAGCAACCACATCTCAGCCCATCCACCGATTGTAAAGAGATTTGTTTTCTGCACTTCATAGCGCCACTAAGGCCAGCCTTCAAAGTAGGGCACGAGCCCTCATTAGATAATAATAATACTAATATAATAATCAACCGCTCAATCCATCAATCACTTATTTACATGCCCTTGAAAAACAATGTGGTATTTGTGAAGGCACACGCAAAAATAAAACAATACGAACAACATTACAGTACACTAACTCTTCATAAAAACAAAAATGAATGAGTCAGAACACGCGAAAAAATTGGCGGCAAATGGAAAGAACAAAAAGACAAAATGAGAATCATGAAAAGAAGTCATAATTAAAAGGATATAAAACCAACTATGTAGAAAGCTTCATGAAAGACAGAAAAGGGGAGAATCTCTACATTGTGAAAAACTATTTTAAAACTACGCTGAGCTGAGACAAAAGCATTGACAGTGGACTATGAAAAACATCAAGATCATGAAAGTTAACGGTATAGCAGCTTCGTATTTTGTGAACAGTAGAGTGTTGAAAGATGTTGGAAGGTACATGAAATGGTCGATCCTCTCTGGTTAACTTACGCGGAATACGAAAATTCACACAACTGAGAAGTGAAAAACAGTATAGCATCGCGTGAACCAGTTTGAAAAAAAATATTTAGGTCAGCGTGATGTCGTCTGCAGTGAAATGAGGACAAACATAATAATAATAATAATCTGGCAGGGCTGGAAAGAGATCTAGAGTGATTTCTAAAGAAACGATTACTGTAAATGCTTAAAAAATATTTCTGGCCTCACTCAACGGCGTCACTGCAAGATTTAGCGATGTCATTCCAGACCACAGATGCACATTGAAGTTGAGGAAAAACACATTGCAGTGTACAATCGGTAGAAAACTGTAGGAGAACTGAATTCTCGTTAGATTCTACAAACACAGCCGAGAAAACGAAGGCCTCGCATGGCAGCACGTTTAGTGTGAGCAGAAAAAGTGTGCATGTAAGCAAAAACAACACCACGATCACTGAATTCATAGACCTTACTTGAGGACATGGTATTGACAGGGTGTGGAAATTATATGACGTATGTTTTGCGAGATATATTTATGAACTTGGTCTTCGAGGTATTCATACAAAAGTTTTTGTTAATAGAGCATTCGGAGAAAAATCCCAAAATCTGACTGCAGCAAGTAAAAGTCGCTGACTAAAGGAATTTCCTTAAATACCTTAA